CCCTTCAATGTGATAATCATTTTGCGTATGAGATAGATCGAGTTCGCACGACGAAACACAAGCGAAAGAAACACTTTTTCCAGTTTCTGCTGCGTGCAATTCTTCCAAGATTCTAAAAGATTCGTACACTTCGCGTCAAAGTATTGTTTACCGTACAAGTTAATATAATTGTACTTTTAGGTGAAATCAATTTACTTTATGTACAAGTGGTTATATAATTTAATTGTAACATAAACGAAAAATATAAATGCAGGGAATCGTTTATCCTGGCAAAAAAGAAGAGAAATGCGCATCGTGTCTGTTTCATTTAAACTTTGAGAGGATGTTCCTCCCGATACCTAATGTCGTCCTCACTGCAGGAAAAATGGAAGTGCAGAGTTGGACGACGATCGAAAGATGGCGGTGGTTTCAGCAAGGTTGCGAGAACGTAACGCGCGTTGTAAGAGAAAAATGACAATCCGACACACGGTTTCTTTTTTTTTCTTTTCTTTTTTTTTTTTTTTTTTTGGAAATATAAATACTCTGTTTTTATTATCGAATTCTCGAACAACAGTTTCCGTTTACTCCATAATTATGTCGTCGCGATGAGAGGAAAACGGACGTTTCCTATATTTCCGATATTTGGTACGTATAGAGCCTTGTGTATCGTCGATTCTGTTTGGCGTTTGTACATCACCAAACGGTAACGAGAAGCAATGGTCTTTTACTGTTCCGTTTCTCCGTCAAGGGGAGTCGCAAGAACGCTTATGGGGCTTGCTGACGTACATACACATATATATATATATACACATGCGTACATACACACATACGTATGTACATGCATATGTATCAAAGAATAAAAGAAAGAAAGAAAGGGGAGGGAAAGAGGGAGAAACACGACGAACTATCGTCGCTTTGTCGCCCTCTATCGCTAAAATAAACAAGTACATCTCCTAACCTCTATATACTCTGCTTATACTCGGCTCACAATAATTGGCCACGGTGCGAGTCGATCGCCCAGGCGCATTCTCGCGAGACAAGTACACTAGTGTATCGTAATACTGACAGTAAAGAGATTACTATGGACATTAAAATTAAGCTCGCGTTGGTGATCCGCGCGTGTGCGTAACAATTCGAAGTACAATTACGCGGGTATAAACGGCTAGGTTATATGCATATCATAGTAGAACGTGTATGTATATCGTAGTATGTATATAGTAGTTGCAGATGATTGTTACTCTAGGATTAGAATTACAGGATTATTCGATTGACGTGTTACGTTCGCAGATACATCTTTCTAAGTGCGTCGGTAGTCGTTGGACCATGCAACGTTAATTCTGAACGAATGATGAGAAAAAAAAA